ACCAGTCCAACCTATGATGAAGTGTATGTTGGGAAACTCACTAGTTGTTGGAGCCCAAGCATTGAAAAAAACTGTCTGTAGGTTGGTACCGGCTGTAGAGGTGGAGTCAGAAGAGCACCAATCATTATGTTTGGCATAAAAATCCCCCGTCAGGAAGAAGTCACACTCGTCATAGCAAGAGGACTGTATAGCATCGACCAGCATATCCGAGAAGAAGGACAATTGTTCCGCCGTTTGGGAAGGGGGTCGATACATGCAACATACAAGAATAGGGTTAGGGGTGCATTGAGACTTAACTTCCACCCAGGTAGATTCACAGCACTGACGCTGCTCGTCGGGTCTGTGGAGAATATGTTGAAAAGCATCAGTCCGGACAAGCACGGCGACACCACCATATCCTCTAGTGAAAGAGTGTGCATTTCTGTTCTCGTGTGCTGGTCTGTCTCTTCTGAAACAGGAATAGCCCGGTACATGCACGGAAACAGATGGGCACAGCCAGGTCTCCTTGAGGCAAACAATACTTGGCTTAGTGCTCTCCAGAACAATCGAAAGTTCAGCTAATTTATTGACGAGAGACCGACAATTCATGGTTATCAGCGTTAGGTCGGATTCTGATCTGGGGTAGAATGGGGTAGCATGCAAGTTGAGGGAGGACATAGACAACATGATTATGACGAGGAACTATCACCACCACGTTCAGTCACGTTGGTACCGTCGGCAAAGCGCCACTTACGGACGGTGTGGCTAATTGTTGCCGGCCAAAATCCTGCACTGAGTATTTTGTCTTCATCCATTGACTTCATTTCTTTTACTCTCCATAGGCTATTGGATTATTTTCCTTACTCGGTCTATTTATAACCAGTATCTATATGAGTGTGGTGTGTCTCTATGGTTACCGGTGTTCGGCACACCCGGTTCATGTAGCATGTTGCAAATTAAGATGCTCTTGTTTGTTGCTGATAGAAAGATTGCCACTTCCCTAGTTTTGTTTCACCAGTATGCTTTTCTTTTGACAACTATAGCCACTTCCCCTTTTTAGACCTTAGGCCACCCTTTCTTTTTTCGTTGTTTAACGTCCGCGCCCGCGTACCTTTTTGCCTCCGACCGGAAAAAAAACAAGAAAGTAGTAGTACCAATAATATGCGAAGTTGTAAATACATGATTGTGTAGTTTCACAGTGTGCCAATCATGACCTTAAACTTATAATCTTGCCTCCCGAGCATGCCTTTGTCTTGTGTTCTTTTTCTTTTTTTGTTGGCTTTTAAATATCGTACGGTGTGTGTCCTAGTAAGGGTGCGTTCTTATATTCTCTAGCTTCTAGAAGAAGAAGAAAAGAGAAGTCGAAGAAACTGGGATTACTCAAGAACGGGTCTCGAAGAATTCGGAGATATTTTGCACATGTCAAGCAAAATGAAGCGCCAAAGGGGCCGCGATCTTGAGTGATGAATGTAGTAATGCACGTGTGCGTATGCGAAAAGGGAAATGCGTACACTAATGATGAACACTTGCCTTTTAGTCGTAGTTCGCATGCGCTGATCCCAAACCGCGGGAATCTCCAAGTTTCAACCACCTCTGAAGCTTGGAGAGCTTGGAGAGCTTTGGAGAGCCTCCTAAAAGTCGGAGAGGATATAAGAACAGCTCTCGAACTTTTCGGAGAGTCTCCAACTTTTCCGAGAGGATTTAAGAACGCACCCTAAAAATCCAGATGTAATGAATTCATGACATGCTAAATCCATGCTATGTACCTGTTTTGTTGGATTCATCAGGCATGTGCTCCAATGTACCATCAAAGAGTGTTGTTCTATGCCTGCAAGTGCCGTTAGACCCAGAAATATTGTATATATCACATGCTTTACTGGTCAAAATGTTTGATTGGGGTTTCCAGTTTTTGGAATGGGCTTTTGTTTTTTTTCGCCCTCCCGTGTACCTTTTCGCGAAAAAAGGACGTTAAACAATGAATTAACAAAGGGTGGCCTTATCTGGAAGGCCCATTCTTGCATATTCAAGCAGCAGCCAAGGGAGCTAGCTCTCTTGGTTATGCTGGTAGAAGGACTGGGTCCGATCCACCGTCCGAAGGGATCCACAGGATTTCCTGTGGATATGAGATCTAGGCCTTGACGGATTATGCTAATATTTTCGTGAAATTATGCTTTTCGCATTGCTGAAACAATTGCAGAATTATGCTATTTTTATGCTAAAAGATATCATATTATGCCGCATTATGCTCACATATGCTGCTAATGCATAATGGTTCTGTGCAAAATAACAAGGGAATTTTTGTAGAGGGCGTTGTACTGTAGTAGCAAAAGTTCAACGGGGTCAACGCACCGTCCGACCTAGCTACGACCATCACTGATTGTAGTGGACTGGACATGTTATCAAGGGAGTCGTAAACCTACAACTTCCTAGTGCATCTAGTACGAGGTGGATTGCTATTTCTGGACATTGGACATTTCTGGACATTTCGAGTAAAATAATTTTTCGTCGCGTGTAGAGTCAAGTCAGTCAGGTTGATGAAGTTTTTTCTTGTTGTAGTTGACAGCTGGGCTGTTGTAGTTTCTCCTCGTGTCGGTGCCTGGTTGATAGCCTTTTCGTGGGAGGCATTTCAACGAGTTTTGTGGTACTATGTCGCATGAGAATTTTGAATTTTGAGTAAAATAAGAAGTAATGGACGAATCGTTGGCTTCCCCATGTGCACTCCGCTTCAGACGCTGTATAGTCTTGGACCTGTTGGCTGGAAGTGTGAAGAGGCCAACTGCAGTCCACCAATAGAAAAAATAACAAAAATGGTGCAGTATAGGATGCCTATTGACGCTATTTTACTTTCATGTCCAGAATTCCATACACTGGAATTTAGGCCAAAAAATTGGCCTGTCGAAAACATCCTGCTATAAAGTCTCTGGGATCACAGCATGAGCAATTGTCACATATTTGGAAAGATGAAGGATTAGGCCATACAATAGATACAAATAGATATGAAAAATGTAAAACACACAGCCAGTGGGCCTCTATTTTATTTTCATGTCCAGAAATTGCTATTCACCTCGTAGTAGTAGTATTTATTTTATTTACCATCGGATGCCTCAACAGTGATACACACAACTCTTAAGAGGGCCGATAACGGGATAAGTGGAAAGGAAAGGATAAGAAAAGAAAAGAAAAAATAGAAAAAATTGGAATTCAGACATCAAGCAGTACAGTAATCAAACACCAAGTCAACTTCAAGCTTAGTACAAGAACTATCAAGATCATCAAGAAACTCAACAGATTCCAAAAAGTAGGTCAAAATACTTCTTAAACGCCACTGGGTCTTTAAAAAGATCCCTGAGTTGGTTTGCAAATGTAGAGGTACGGTGGTGTCTGCGCCACTCGGCAGGTAGTGTATTAAAGAAAATTGCGGCACGATTAGAAAAAGAATTTACTCCATCAGTTGTCCGGTGCTTAGATATATCTACTTGTACTTGCACTTGCAGAACATGTACAACTATAATGGAATTTGATGCGAACAGGCGGAGTATTACAAGTTTATGCTATTCGTATGCAATTTGCCTCGAATTATGCGATTATTCGATTTTGGTAGGAATTATGCGAAACATTATGCTAGCATAATCCGTCAAGGCCTAATGAGATCCCCTCGTTTGAGGGGATTATGAGCCATAATCCCCTCAAACTAGGGGAAATATCCGTAGATCACCTGAAAAGGGTGGTCTATGATGCGAGTTATGTCATCTCTATACAGAGGGGGGAGGGAAGGTGCAACTGTGCACATTCACAGAGCACAATGCGCGCTACCTTCTGCTGCTTCTTCTCCGTGATGTGTTAGTTGCGCCTTTTCTCTCTCTCTGTCCCCCCCCCCTTCTGCATACTAGGTGACATAATTCGCATCTTTTTTGGCGCTACACTCTGCGTATATACTGCTCTTGTGTGGCTTCCACGGTATTCATTGTTATTACCTGACGATGGCCAAGTGCCGAAACGTTGTACAAATACCGGAACTGGTTCGAATGTGATGTGCAGCGCTACGAGAATGGGTGTGTCCACCCGAATTCTTTTCACAGATGAAGCTGCAGGAAGCCTCAGCCCTTCTTCAAATATGCCGGCATTATCCGCATAATTATGCCTACAGGCAAATATCACCTAACCCTGGTTTTTGCTGCCCATGCCTCATAATGAACATGTGACCATGTACATATCTGTGACCCTATCTATGGAAATAAAATAATTGTGGGAAATAAATAATTGCTCGTCCGCACCGATTTTCACAGGCTCATGACCTGTAGCTAGGCCACAGCTCACAATCAACACAGGTATAGGTACATACTGGGTCAGAGCTCAACTCAAGAGTAACCCGCGTGCACAGGTCAGTACAGACGTATACAGCATACCACAGTGGCCCAGAGCATCACACAATCCGGAGACTGTCCAGTTGCTGGCGTTATCAAGATCAGGGCAGTCCGGATACAAGGACCTGAGAATCAACATTTTTTACCATGGCCCTATATAATAATTTTATTTTTTTGATTTGAAAAATTTCAGACGTTCTTCGATATTTCGTAGCTAGCTTTGTGAAATGGCAGGGGTAAATAGAAGCCTGCTTGTCGCTTTGTTACTTGTGGACTATGATGATGGTTCTCTGGAAGAGGAAGATCTGCTTTTGCTCCTTGCTGCCATTGAGGAAAAGGCTACTTGCTATCATTTCACTCAAGTAATTGGTCAGCGCCTGTGTTTTGAATCACTGGACGACGAAACCTGCCTTCGGCGGTATCGATTCACCAATGTGTGGGCTTGAACATGCGCTTAAACACACACAGTTGCACACAACCAAACGAGTGCACGAACGCACGGACGCACACGCGCAGTCACACACACACACGCACATACACATAAAATGACGGCGCTAGTGTACGTACACGCACAGGTGCACACAAGTGCACACACGTGCACACACACACACACACACAAGTGCACACACGTACACACACATAACCATCATAGCAACGTCTTCTCATCCAGTTATGACAAAAAAATAAACACAATTACATATAATTATAACATTGTAAACACACATAGAAATTACTAGCAGTTCATAAATCAATGATAAAAAACAACATAGCATAGCAGTAGCAGCAGATATGATTATAGGCATGAAAACATTAGAAATCTATTCACAACAGTCCTCAACATTAGAGTAGTAAGCAGGCAAGCAGCAAGCAAAAACACATTTTGTACAAGAAGAAAAGCAGGCAAAAAAACCTATCGATGGTCGACCGGTCAGGGTTTAGGGGTATGGGGTATACAGGGGAACAAAACAATACAAAACTTTACATTCTCTCAAGAATGTACAACCATTTACAGAGTTTAAATGCACCCCCTCCTCTCTGTGAACACAGTGACAAGTTGAGAACAAACATTCTCACTCAAGCCACAGTTGTCCACCCACAGTCCACGTAACTGTGTACACACCTTCACCGCTTCAATGAATCTCATCTCATCATCCGCACTGCCCACAAACCGATTCCCATACAACCACAACACTTCCAGCTGTGTACATTGCTCCAACGTATCACAGAGTAAAGACAACGGCGCAGCACCATCACTATACATGTCGCTGACATTGACATTGTGTACATTCTTACACTGACTGAGTGCACGGCACACGGACACAAAACCACTCACACCAACAGGGTTACCACCAACACCCACAGACACAAGACTAGCGGACATGGCTGAAATCACGGATGACAATGCTAGACCATCAAGAATAGCATTCCCGTATAGCTGTAGTGAACGTACACTGCTACACCTCTGTAAGCCTGTTGATAAGCTGTGAAATGACTCATCGCCAATGCTACAATCGCAGAGGTCGACTTTCTCTAAATCACTACATGTATAGCCACACAGTAAAGAACTGAGAGCAACACATTCATGAGAAGAAAGAGAAACACCATTGAGAATGAGCTTTGATGCAAGTATAGCACAAAAGAAAGGGTGTGTCCAGTTGCAGGACACACCGTGATACTCTGCATGCTCATGATATGCCACCACAAGATGAACAAACAACCTCCGTATGGGGGTATCCCTAAAAGAAGGGGCAGCATCAGCTAGACTTACAATGCGAGAGGAAGCAGCTTGCAGGGATTCATGACTCAGCAGCATAGCAGCGGGATGAAGAAGACTCTTGCACAGCCGCGCCAGCTCGGCGTCCACCTGGGATAGCGCTTCCAACAGCACAGTGCCATATGCAACACTGCCGTTCTTCATCCACACCCTCAGGAGAGTCTTTAGGAATTGCGTATCTGTGGGCTCTCGGCTGATTGGCATGGAACGGCGCACAAGTTGCTCACCATGGCCCTTGCCACGGTCATGCCGAGGAATGAGGAGAATGTCGGCGAGGACTGTCATTTGCTCAGCATTCAGTTCATGGCAAAGTTGTTTGTGGACCTTTGCCATCTCCATCTCACCGGTCAGGACACTTGAGTCATTGCGCATGTCCTCGGCTAGCTTAGCGGCGGTGGCAGCACGTCTAGCGGCAGTATCAGCATGTTTGGTAGCCTCCGTAGTCGCACTGGAAGCCCACTCCTCTTGCCCGTCGCTGCCGCATCTGTTAGCTTGTTTGGTGGCTTCGTTGGCCTCACTGCTAGGATCCAGTGGTATTGGATCTGCATACTGCACACGCCATAGCTCCTCCATGATGATCAGTGACACGTCTTCCGGGCATAGAGCAATGAAAAACTTCCAGAACATTGCCATATGGCCATCGTATGCGCCCAGTCGCCGTACCAGTGCAATGGCGTGATGTCTTTCTTGCACCACGCATTCCGCCTGAAACCATGCCGATAGGAACTCCTGCAGTGACAGATGGCAGAAGCGGTATTGCCGAGCGTTCGTAGACATTGTTCCCTGGCATGTTTGCAGAAGACCCAAGCTCATTGCATCCTTGCTCAAGTGGGAGTTGATGATGTCGGACGTGTTGAACACCATCCTTTTCACCAGCAACATGCGAAAAGCAAAGCGCCCCAGTTCCTGTAGCGACTGGACCACTTTGCTGGATGCAAGTGAAATCGACTCGCAAACTGCACCACCAGCACGCTCCACGACTCGACGCAGTAACGATTGGTACAGGGATGCGCTGCACTTCCACATTTTGCCCTTGTTGCTCTTGAAAAGCTCACATGTTAGGTCTGCAAACATGGGAGTTGCCATAAGACATGACATATCCGGCTTGCTCTGCAGCTCTGCCAGCAGAATTTCAGCGCCTTGTTTACCGAGAACCTTCTCTACGTAGTCCCTCACTTTCTCCGGTGAGAAACCCAGTACTTGGATTTTCTGCTGATATTTGCCACACTGCGATAGTTGATATGCATCCTGGCATGGACGGCTTGTGACGATCACGTGTGTCTTCACCATGCCCTCACGTTTCAGCAAGTCACTCATGAACATACTGCAGCTGGCGAAATCACATTCATCCAAGCCGTCCATGATGACACATAGACGGCTTTGAGAATCTTCGAAGTAGTTTGCAAGCTCCAATATCTCAGTCTGCGACAGGCCCTGGCTCGCCAGTTTCACCGTCAATAGCTCAGCAAGACTAGTGGCAGCTCTCACCTCTTTTTTACGAAGCTCCAGTCCCACGACCAGATCGAATTCCTCCTGCCATAGTTCGCCTCTGCTCCACAGGTATATAACCATGAGCAGAAACACTGTGGTCTTGCCACTACCAGCAGATCCGTACGCCAGTACATTCCGGAACACCTTGCCACAGAGATTCGGTCGCTCGGTCGCTGTAGCTGCTGGTGCAGGTTTTCCTTTTGAATGGGAAACGTCGTCCACACTCGAACCTGCGGCACGAAACAGGTTCTTCAATTCAATTCGATCGGCTTTGCTAAATTCCACTGCGTGTTGACGTCTCTCAGCATACGTCGAGAACGCTTCATCAAAGTCTCTTTTCAATAGACCCTTTGCGCAATAAGCGAGAGGGGTCGAGACGGGGCATGCTGTGCGCGCGCTGCACACTTGGCATGCAACCAGCATGCATGGTTTGCTGCATGCAGGACGTGATCAAGTTTCCTGTGACAGGCTAGGTTTTCACGGTCCCGACGCGATGTTCATGTATGTACTCCCCAGCCTTTTTTCATTTGAAGTTTTTTTAGTTCTGAAGGAAGAAGTTCCGAAATATGCTTTCCAAGGACTGCTGTTGGGTTCTTGTTTGCAGCAACCGTCATCCCTTGTCTAAGAAACCCACTTGTTTTTCCAGGCGTTCCCTAGTGATGCTGGCATTCCACTCTCTTGAATCCTGGCTATTTGGCGAGAAGGGCAGCAGTTTGCTGCGACATCGTTCACAGTCACGGTTTTGCTCGGAACACTTTGTCGATGACGACAGTCACTTTCATCGTTTTGCGAAGACGCGGAACGTCCTGCCAAGAGACTCTGGAGCTTGAGAGAAAGGCATGATCCATCCCTGTCTTCGCTATTCAAGGAAGATCGACTGCTTGCTGGCGCTGCTCGAGCTGCTGATGTTGAAGTGCAGAGAGACGCAGCCTCATCGCTCAGGCGTGCGGAGAAGGCCATCTGAGTTCGAGCTGTGGCTGTGTGCACGATATGACAGACTTTCACGTTATGCACATAGCCACCAAAGTAAAACTCATGGACACTATCCACGGGCTTCTTCACTAGTACTACTCCATCAGCTCCCTCTTCACTGTCGTCGGCGACTTGCCCCTGCGTTGGAGATGAGCAAGCCTGGTGTGGCACTCACTCTGGGAAACAGAGGTTCATCACTCATCGAGTCATCCACTGGGACGCATGAAATGTTGGGCACGACGACTGTACACTCGAGGAAGTGGTGCCCTTCTTAGTTCTAGGAGCATCAGGGTTCTGCATAGAGAAGTGTTCTCTACATCGACAGAGGAGAGAAGGTAGAGAAAATAAAAATAAATTTCAATCTACAGTAATCCGAAATATCCACTGACAGCGGAAAACTTACCGCTCCAACAACTCCTTCTTTTTCCAGACAGATACGCACCCTCATTCAGCAGAAAACTGTTCAGTTCCTTCACAGGCCATTCTTCATTTGACAGTTCGTCCACGGGTGCCACAGCCATCGATGGCAAACCACTCGACACTCTCTCCTCCATCTCCAAAATGGAAAAATACAGTGTTTCACCATGCTCAACAACGGATACTCTGCACAAAAATCGAAGAGGATGCCCCGTCTCGGATCACGTGACCGTTATTGTGCAAAGGGTCTATTCCTTTTCAGCCACAAACGCCAAATTCACGAATATCTGTTCGAGCGAAATGTGATCATCAGAAGCGAGGCCGCCGCTCAGCTGAACTCCCGACTCTTCAGCCTGTTCCAACAACTTCTTTTTAGCTTTCACCAGCAAAGGCAGCAGATCCTTGCCTTTTGGGGCGCGGTCCTTGGCCTTCGCATCCATTGCTTTCAAAACACAACAACAGGTCACTGGTGGGTGTGAAAGACGAAAGCCAAGTAACTGGTAAGTAACTCAGTTTCTCGGTTCAGTGATGGAAATCTGATGACCTGAATCATGAATGAAGTGAACGGAACAAGTAGGACTGTGTGGTGTGGAAACTGACATCAGGGTGAACACGGGGCCGCGGCCGGGGGCAGGGGCTGAGCCGCGCAGGCCGGCGACTCGGTTTTTCCCCGTGCGTATATAAATAATTTATATACGCATCGGGAAAAACCGATTACCGTATTATCTCTAATATAAGCACAGTCTCCAATAATAGCACGTCTCCAATAATAGAACACCTTGGGGCGGCATTCAAAAAATAAAGTGCTCAGTCTCCATTATAAGCACACTGTGTAAATTCATTATCTGTACCGGCGAAAAAAACCCTGAAATGTGTGTGTCATACATGAATTTGGCATGGCAACATGCCTCTGAAATGAGGTTGAAATAATATTGGAACAATCTCCAATAAAGGAACGTCTCCATTAATAGCACGGGGCGGAGGTACATTGAAAAAATAAAGGACCGTGCTTATATTAGAGATAATACGGTATTAGGTTTTCTCTTTTTAATTTTCGCTGGTGTCTACAATATTGCAATGTGTAGTTGCATGCATGCAGGGAGTCGTAAAAAATTAATAATAATTACGACTCCCTGGTAGACATTGTAGCCTCTGCGCGGTTGCGCATGCATGCACTTAGGGGTCGTCCGCAATTATCGAAAGTTTTTTCCAATCCGTAGTAGCTTCAAATTTTTCCTCACCCACCCCCCCCCCCCCCCCCCCAGTCCGTAATAAAATATTATTGATAGACACACAACCCAACACATATGGAACAAACTCGTCCATTCCTTTTTCGCTTCGGCAAAGAATACATCCTTGTTCGTCGTCTTGGACAACTGCCACAAGCAATTTATTGTTCTGTAATAATCAGAGTCACCAGCGGTTTTGAAAAAGGGCTGCTTCTTCACCGCCTTTCCAAACAACGTCGCCTGTCTGGACATAGTCAATAACAGTCGTCAGCGCCAGCGCTAGACGGAAGGACTTCAAAGGAGTGCATGGAAGACGGTACTCTGGACGAAGGAGACAGTGAAACTCAAAAATAGAAAGTGTCGACTCGCCGTCGAATGCGCCGAACTTTATGATCCCCGGCCCAGGATCTAGGAGCAGCCAAGGAAGCGCGCGCGTGGGCGCAGAAACTGCCAGAACTACAAAAATATTTGTAGTAGACAGTTCGCGCGCAGCCGCGCGTGGAAAACAGGGGCTACACGTAGACGTACACATGGCACGCGCACGTGTCATTTCGGAAGTTTTTCAATCCGTAATTGTCCTTGACCCACCCACCCACTTTCGAAGCTACTACGGATTGGAAAAAACTTTCGATAATTGCGGACGACCCCTTAACTCCAGTGACCAAAGACAAGTCGCGAAGGATGTGCCCGATTCGACTGTGCGAAAGAGTTGAAAACCCATACATTATACATGGTTAGCATTTTACCGTTCACGCTATTGTCGACGGTCGGCGTGTAGAGGGCGAGTCTACTGGTTTTTGTGTGTGTTCGAGACACGGTTAGCAGTTCGGCTTCTGAGTCCTGACTCCTGATACAACGATCGACTTGTTAGCTGTGAGGTAAGCCTAACTTGGAACCTTACCGGTTCGTTCTTCCGCTAAACAGAGCTTTCTATCGTCGAAACGGTACCAAACCGACGGTATTTTGGGTGTTGGGTACGAGTACCATTGGATCTAGCGTGAACGGTAAAAGTCCATGTCTATACATATTATAGCAATAAAAACTGCTTTATGGCAGTTTTCTAAAAAACGTTATTGTGTTCTAGTCCATGGACCCCGTCTAAAAAGTAAGAAATTAACGAAATGTGATTGCCGAAAATTAAAATTTCACACAAAACCTCACAATTATCACAACACTTGAAATGCTGTTTTCAACACTAAACTTGTACTGGACCAACAATTGGCAACATGCATGTCATGTATGCATAGGAAAGAGGATCACGAGGAGAAAAAGGTGTTCTACATGTAGCTTTTCATTCTGTGTGTGATTATTGTGAGGTTTTGTGTGAAATTTTAATTTTCGGCAATCACATTTCGTTAATTTCTTACTTTTTAGACGGGGTCCATGGACTAGAACACAATAACGTTTTTTAGAAAACTGCCATAAAGCAGTTTTTATTGCTATAATTTCTTTTGTTTTTTCTGTCACCAATCAATGGAATGCCCAATATGTAAATGATGGCCTTCACATCATATCAATACAGTATTATACGCATTGATGTGCAAGCCTTTTCTTGCAGAAAATGGCACTAGCATGTTCGTCTGCGGGGCCCGGGGGAAACATGTGAGTAATGGTGGACCGTGGTGATTAGGCCTCGACCAAATATGCTTGCGCATATTTCCGCATATTTTGTGAGACAGTTCATATATGGCATATTGAGCGAGCATATGATTCAAATATTCTAAAGAAAATGAGGACAAAACATTCATGTTATGGACAAAATGCGTTCAGAAATGCCTTTTATGGATGAATTTGGAATGGTTGAGGCGTTTGCAACATTTCCCCAGGGATGAACACTATCGCTACGGTTGCTGGGGACACACTTCCATACTATTCTGCATGTGTTTTGATTTGCACCATAAGCATGATAGCCGTGAAGCCAATGAATTTTCCAAGGTTTTAATTTTACAGAAAGGTTACACTTTCTGCTTATGTCGAGCATATTTTGGCATATCTTTTTGCATATCTTGCTAAGCCTTTGGCATATCATGGCCGTTTTCCCTGATATGCGACGAACATAATATGCTCTTTTTTATTAAGCATATTGGTCGAGGCCTAGTGGTGATACTTTTTTTATATGGAGGTCATTCTGTTCATGTTGCTGTAGCAGAATTTCATTACTCTGTCATAAAATTGGCTTGCCTTTCAGATATTTCAGATTTCCCCACCCTCGATCAGATTTATTTGAGAAATGTAACCAGGTGCGTGTCGCAGATGTTTTTGTTGATTCTGTGTTTATAATGGTTTATAATCATGGGTTATCGTGATAAGGTCAGCCTGCATCATATGGCACTGAAATCGTAATCCTGTTGATGTCGATACAACTTTTGGAAGTAGCTCAATGACGTTAAACTGTTAGTCCACGATTTTCTAAAACAACACAGCAAAGGAGGAACAATAAACATGTATTAAAATGTAAACAAATACATTGCTGAGTCTGACACCTCGTTCCAACAACTACACTGATCCTGAGGATAAAATGGGCAAGGCTATGGTTGAAGGTACTGAGAGATAAACAAGGCACTCCATAATAATAAAATCTTACACATCTTTTGGTGAGTATGGATGATATCCAGTCGAACCTCTTTAGGACGAACACCAAGGGACCGATGGTATTTATTCTGTGAGTTTGTCTTAACCTATTTTATAACCAGTGAATACAATTATTTCTCCAATAGACATACGAATAGATTTCTTCTACAGCGAAAGATTCTAAGCCACACCAACTCATTGACTACATTGTAGTCTCGTATGAAACAAATGAGTCACTAGAGAGGTTGTGCAAAACGAAAATGCAACTTCGCAAGAACTTTCGCAACTTTGGACGCGAAACTTGCAGGGAACGCGAAATGAACTGTCGTAGGAAATTTCGTGAGATCGGGTCATGGCGTACGTGCACTTGGCCCGCGCAAACTACGAAAATGTGCAGAACGCAAAGTTCGTGCAAAAATTCGTACACACTCTCGCAAGGACTGTAACGAAACTTCGTTCGAATTTTCGTTTTGCAGAACCTCTCTATCTACTGAACCTTTCTTTAGCAACATGACGGCAACTGAAACAGCAACAGAGAAAGTACGATACATGTACAGCACATTCTTGCAGGTACTACAAACAGATTGCAGATCGTAATTCTTGCTTTGGCGGCACGAAACTTTATTTGGGGCAGTGCAATCTCGGCGGTACTCACAAATAATAAATCAAACCGCCCAGACTCGAGTAAACAAATCCAATCATACAAGAAGGAGATCTTCACGAGACGAGACTGCGCCCGTTGGCTTGTTTCGTATGAAGCAAACAAGTTTACTGAAGCTCTCCACAATGGAGATTTTCCCTGATATGCGAATTTAATTTGCAAACTCGGTCAATGGGTCCTTGAACCTTTCCCTCCAGATTGGGAACTGCCAACGATAGTATGCCACTGACCAGTGCCTTACTTGTAACGTACCAATGTACAATGATTAATTGCATTTCGACAACACATCTAACATAAGCCTTACCGCCAAGAAGGTGAACTCGCGTTCTTCGCACACTGTAGACAAGGGCAAAGAGATAAAAATGGATCTAAATCCGAATAAAATCAGCACACGTTTCCGTAAATGAAGGGGTGAGCATAAGCAAATGAATCGAAGGAAACCGGTCAACTCAGAGATCACCTGTCAGCGAAAGAGATCCTGTCAGCTTTTCCATTATTTTATTACATTCCGGCCAAAATCAGCACACTTTTCGTAAATGAAAGAAAACAAGCAAATGAATCAAAGGGAACTAGTCAACTCACCTGTCATTGAGTAATATTCCGCGAAAGGAGGTCTCAGCAGCGCCGAAACGAAATATGCCAGGCCAGGAGGCGAAATATCCGAAACAGCTCATACAAGAAGCAGTTCCAAAGAAGGAATCCGAAGTTCCTCGCGCATGCACATCCGAACACGGACTGCACTGCAACACAATGTCTGCCGTGCACGTGCACAGCACGC